TGAAAACAGAAAATAAAAAAAGACAGATGGAAACTATGAGGAAAAAAATACGAAGTATGGACAAATGAACCCAGGAGTGCCAAAATCTGCTTAGCGGAAGTTGCGGAAGGGAGAATATAGAAAATAAAGAGAAAAGTTTCAAAGAAATATAAAAACAAAAGCAATTTCCATATAATACATATAAAGCCTGTCCTTTGATTAGTAGCTATAGGCTCATTTTTTGAGTGAGGCACTGTATTCCATGCTATTCCATTATATGAACACACTACTGCGTATTTAGACATTTCCCTGTTGGATATTTAGGTTAATGCCATTCCTTTTTAAGAACATTCTTGAATTTCCTGCATATGGTCATCTCTCTTTAGCTCACCATATCCCACTCCCTGGTTATCTAGCTGCTCCACAGTCTTCAAATACCAGTGGCCCATTCATGCTACATAGACTGTATGCCGTGGAAAGAGACCAACCCTGACCCACGTGGACGGAATTCCCTTCACACTGGAGGGAATAGATAAGAGCAAAGTGTGTCTCAGGTGAAACATGATGGAATGATTTCCTCGTTAAAAGGATGCAGCCTTGTTCTCTGCACTCAGGGACCTTCTCACCTGCACCGTGAGGTTATAGGTGCCGGGGTGGTGCTTCCTTACTTCCGAGAGCGCGATCATCAGGCCTTTCTCGATGCGCTGGGTGAAGTTGCAGAAGCCAGTGTCCACACTCTGAGGCACAAACTGGAGTACTGAAAATAAGGAGAGTCCCATGAACCGAGCGTTTCCTTAGTATTAAGGAAAGAAGAGAGGGGGAAATAGGATCTAATTCAACTAACTCACCCATAGTAGGGGATTCAGTGACATGATGTCGTATTTACATGTATCACATTATGTGAACACAGGAAGCCAAGTTTGCACCAAAGGAACACATATATGCAGTGTGAAAAAAGTTGCCATCACATTGACGCCGATTCATGTAACCCCCATGCCTGTCCAAGTAGAACTGTGCTCCATAGGGTTTTCAGTGACTGTGATCTTTAGGAAGTAGATCTCCAGACCCTTCTTCTGAGATGCCTCTGGGTGGATTTGAACCTGCAACCTTTCGGTTAGCAGCCAAACACGTTAATCGTTTGCACCACCCAGGGACTCCATGCAATGTGAAAGTGACTTATATTATTTTAAAATGTGAAAGATACATTTTAATACATTTACCTAAGATAACAATTTGGGCATCAAAAGATGCAACTAATGAAACATTATCAATATATGTCAATTCATTAGCTCATAATGATATTAAATCATTAGGGGCTGGGGGAAGGAGGACATGGGGTACTGAGGGCATGCTTCAGGGGTACTGAGTCTCTGTTTGGGGTGATGAAAAGTTTTGGAAATATATAGTGGTGATGGCAGCACAACATGGTGAATGTAATTTAATGTCACTAAATTGTACACATAAAAATGGTTAAAATGGCAACCTTTTTATTATATATATTTTACCACAATAAAACTTTAAAAAAAAAATTTATTAGTCACCACTGGCGGTTGCTAGGATGTAAACTCACTACTCCGAAAATTGACATATAAAACAAAAGAATCAAGCATTTATCCTGCCTTTCTGTATGAATTGTATTTCAGGGTAACCAAATAGTTGATATAGAAAATTCTCTTGTATAGAAGAATTTCAGCTAATAAATGCAGAAAGAATGATGTTGGTGGTGGTGATGTGTGCTGTTTAGTTGATTCCGACTCACAGCGACCCCATGTGACAGAGTAGAACTGCCCCATAGGGTTTTCCAGGCTGTAATCTTTACGGGAGCAGATCGCCAAGTCTTTCTCCCTCGGAGCTAGTAGGTGGGTTTAAACTGACAACTTTTCTGGGTTTGAACCATCGACCTTTTAGTTAGCAGCCAAGTGCTTAACCACTGCACCACCAAGGCTCCTTGAAAGAATGATTAAAAACAAAAGTTGCCGTTGAGTCGACTCCAACTCATAGTGACCCTACAGGACAGAGAAGAAGTGTCCCATAGGCTTTCCAAGGAGTGGCTGGTAGATTTGAACTGCTGACCTTTAAGTCAGCAGCTGAGCTCTTAACTACTGCACCACCAGGGCTCCTGAAAGAATGATAGGATTAGCAAATCACCGATTTGTCACCAGCAATCACGACCGGATG